TTGCCCTTTTTTGGACAGAATCCAACAGTTTCATGGTATGTTTGGGTGCTCCACTCCAAATATGGAAACAGTATTCCAGGACAGGTTGGATCTGTGCCTTATAGATCATAAGCAGCTGACTAGAAGTGAAATAGCTCCTGGCCCGAAACAGAAAAAGTTTCTGGGATGCACTTTTAGCAATTGATCTCACGTGATTTTCCCAAGAAAGGTTATTGCTGGTAGTAATCCAAATGGATGTATTCAAAGGTATGGTTACTCCTGACAAGCTTATGTTGGGCACAGTGAGAGCGGCTTTTCTAGAGAAAAGGCATGCTTGTGTTTTGTTGGCATTGAAATCTACCAAGTTATTGGATCCCCATTCGAGAATTGTTGCCAAGTCCATATTCGTTATTGACTACACCTGCTTTTTATTCATTTGTGATTTGTATTGATTGAGGTTTCTCTTTACTAGTGAGTGATAGAATAACGAGGTGGAAATATGTGATATTAATTTCAAGATGTTTTTTTTGAGTTGTTAAATGATAAATTCATGTATAGGTTCTGCAAATTCAAAAAATCCATATCTTCTCAAAACATCACTTGTATCTACTCTTGAAAAGAAAATATATTGTCATGAATCAAAAACCATTGTTCTAAGAAGGGATCACACTTCAATATTGAATACTATTAAGCTTAGTTTGATCACACATATTTGCCAGAGGACGTTAAGAAGTTGAGGGTGAAATAGCAATTTTTGATTTTCCCTGTATAATGTTCAAGCCATCAGCTTTTTTGGTGAACTAAAATGCAAGTTCATATTTGCAAACATGAATCTACGATTTGATCAATTTGGCTGAATTTTTTCTGGTGATTGTAGTTCTGATTGGATAACAGTCCCCAACCCAATGAACACACGTCATACACACATTATGTATGATACATACATACTGATATATACTGATACAAACTAACATATACTGATGCATGCTGATACATACTGATGTACAGGATCCCGCCAATTTATTATTTATACCAATTTACTATTTCCAAACTTCGAGAGAAAAAATATTTCTTGAATACAGGTAATAATCCTGAGAAAAAAGTTGGGATTGTCAGAAATATGTCATCTTTATTGATTTCAGAGATGTACCATCCAACTTTTGTTTTTCTTTATGGCGTCATATTTGTTTATTATACCTACCATTGAATAGGGCAATAAATTCCCTTCACAACCATGTATATCACATGAAAGGGCGCCAGAAAACACTAATATCTTTTGTTTGGTGGTTATCACTGATTAAAATTGAACTGCCCTACATTTTACAATGTGGTAGGCCATAATGAAAACAAAATATCCTCCTCCTGTGGTATATGAATTTGTGAATTTATTCAGTATACTTTATGAAAGCACTTCTCATATTCAAGCCTAATTTCTCTGAGAAAGTTAAGGTGAAGAATCGATTAATTTATTGCTTGCCATTTCTCGATTTTCAGTTAAAAATTTTCAATTTCCATTTCTTGATTTTTGTTAGATAAAATTTTTCAACATCAGGGAGGAATATGATTGAAAGTGTCCATAAAATGCAAACCAATCAATCCAAAGTTGAACTTATCAGGAATTTGCAACGACCCTGTATATATAACTATATAATTTGAATTTCATCCAATTTATCTGAAAACAGAAAGGGAGTGTCAAAGAATGCGGTCATGTGATTTTTCTCATAATATATGCTCTTACCTGTGATTATGATATTTATAATATAGGTAGGTAGATAGATTCTACAGGGTGATCAAGTTGCAGTGTCTAATATTCCAAGAATTGATAGAACTCGATGAAATACTATCATCTCTTCCTTTGAACATAGGTAAGGTGAATGGGCCTTAGTTATTGATGAAATATAGCCGTTATAGGGAGTTGAAGTTAAAATTTTCTCAACGAAAAGCTCAAATATTTCATTATTGTTATATACCTGATATTTTGTAGGTATGCTCAAGTGATCATCAACATAACATTTGAGTACTGTTGATTACAAAATCGATAATATTTATTACAGCACGTTACTGATCAGATTTCGATACATTCCTCAATCCTATCATTCGCTCTAGGTACCTATATTTTGGCCTCTTGATGGATGCTTTCGAAATGTCATTTGCTTCACAAGATTTTTGATGAAATTCAATTTGATGCAACATCAAATGCCCATATGATGCCTTTTGGAATTATTGAATTCGTGCAAGTAAGGGATTATATTATGTCCCTCGTGGTATATGAAACACCCTCTATCGCAAAATCCAAGAGGATATACCCGTGTCAATTTTTATGTATCTTTTGGAAGAAGTGAATATTCAGGCATTGAATGGTAGAATTGAAAAATGTATTCATATATCTGCAGTCAGTGGCGTATACTCACCGAAACGATTTTTTATAGATTTTGTTATCAACAGATCTCAAAATATATACCACCCTGTATGTCGATCAAAATGTCATGACGTACTGTCAACTGGGGTAAAGCTGCAACCAAAGTACATTCCTTTTAGGGATATTTAATTCACATAATAACCCTTGAAACGCTTTAGTATTTTGGTGGAGGTGGTGGGACGCAGCTACGTCATAATGACGTCAACATTAACCATTTTTGAATTCCTATTTCTTTTACTTTACCCAGTTCATCTAGTTATAACCTCAGGCTCTTGCATTTTGAATCCGAAAGAAAAAAATTATTTGATAATCTATGTTTTATTGTCATTGTGTAAACCTAATTGATCATGACTATAAAAATAAGAAATAAAAAAATTAAATTGTGTGCAACCTTGTTGTTTATGATGGAGGATTTGACCTCTGTTTCGTTATTAGGAGAAAGACAGATTACGTCATTTGATAAAAGAGATCGAATCATCGGGGTATTGCCACAATCACTGCTCTGAGAGGTATCAGGTGTCATCAGTTCAGGAATCGTCATTTCTTCGAAACCTGGATAGATTTATTACCTAGAATATCAGATTTCTATAGCACATTTCCGATGAAGAGGGATAGTTGGAGCATTGTCGTTCTAGATGATAACCTAGTTAGGTATAGTTAGTAGGCAGGAGCTATATTATACCTCCTCGCAATAGGTCGCCTGCTAGGTTTTCATTTAGGTAGATCGACAATAGTTGGAGCTAGGGTCCCTTGATGAAAATTGAAAATTGACGTTAAAGTCATCTTAACAGGGTACGGACAGATCATAGCTGCATTCTTTTTTAATGATGTAGAGACTTTAGTTTTGTCTACTGGCATCCCTGACATTGCTGTCACGTCACATCCATGGGCGCTACAAATTTCAATAATAGGTATGTACAGGGTGTTTACTTGTTGAAGATCATATGGCGAACGAGTTTTGTAATTATGATCCGATTCTATTCAAAATTGGTATCTGGGGGTTTCCGGGGTAGGAGATAATGATCGTTTCGTCAAAATTGGGAAATTCAAGATGGTGGATTCGATATGGCGAAAGACATTAGTTTATATGATCATTACTCTACCACAAATAGAAAATATGTAGGATGCAAGAGTGAAAATAACGTGACTATAAGTTATACTGCGTATACCTACATCTTTGTCACTTTTATCAATCAATTGTTCGAAAATGACTTTTAATTTGAGGGGGACGGAAAAATCATATGTATAACATGGGGGTAAAGTATATTCTATTCTTTATTTTCCTGCATATTTTACGTATTACTTTTTATCAGCCTACTTTTCGTCCTAGACAAAGTTTTATACATGATATACGTGATATTAGTCACTCCATAAATTTCTCATCGAGCTGGATTTCCCAAAATATATTGAGCACACATGAATAAGTACAGTAGTTTCGGTTTCCATCATTTCTCAATCATAAGGCTCAGCTCATTAAGCTGATAGATAAACTTCTGCTCAGCTTGAAATCAGAATTCATTCAGTCAATTCAGTCAACCCTAGTATACAGTCTAAGAACAGTCTCTCTTAGTGAAATATATTAAGCTTTCAGTACAATTTTTATGTTGCCTACCTCGCAAAGATTATGCTGGAGTAGTACACTCTAAATCTAGAGGACTGTTCATCTATATCTTGGTATAGTTGAATCGGGAATTCCATATGGAAATTACGTATGATACGCCAGTGACCTCAATATAACCTAAAAAACAACGAATGTCAAAAATCTAGTGTTTTTCCCTAGAATTGAATAAGGATGGAACTATATAACTGTTTCACAAACACTTCAGAGTGAGAGGAGACGAGGATCTGTCCGTACCCTGTTGAGATGACTTTAACGTCAATTTCCATCAAGGGACCCTAGTTGGAGCCATATAGCAAAGAATAGTATAGGTTCTTCTCTTTGTATAAAGATCCAAAACATATAGTTTAAGGAGCTTATTGTCATCTGGAGACATGAGATTACTTAATTGATAATAACATATTTATTTTAGTTAATTCTTTCGGTTGCAGAAAAAATAGCATGTTTCATTCGGATCAAAAGTGACTTTGTTTGACTCACAAATATTGCTTTTGCTCAACTTCGCTAGACGCTCCGCCTCGCAAATGCAAAATTCGCTTGTCAAACAAAGTTTTACTTTTGATCCTAATAAAACAATCCTCTATTATTTCCAGCGTTACGACGCAGCGTCTTATAACCTCCACCAAAACAAAAATCAATAAAAAAAAATATTTCATACTGGGAAAAAACGAACATTTTTGTAATAATTATATCTCCCACTGAAAAATAATAAAATTATTCCTATGGAAGCTTTTAATTTGAGTCACCATATAAGTAATTCCTAAATATCATCAGTGGAAGGAAAAAAGATAGAAAAAACCCAGAAACGTGTCACATGAAAGAAGCGTTATAAGTCCAATTTTGGAGCACCCTGTTCACATTCACATGCTACAATCTAGAATGAAGAATCATTTTCATTTTGACACCTTGATTTTGACATTTTTCTGTTGAGATGATTTTTTGGAGTGGTAAAAGTTTTGCAAGATATTCTAAATCTTGATGAAGTCAAAGGATGGCTTTCTCTCTGTGGAATATTTTTGAAACATCCTTGCTGTGCTTGAATGCAATCACCATCATCAATGAAGAAAAGAAATTTCGTAAATGTGAGTACATAAATATGATGAATGACTACTACAAATTCATTGCTATCCAATAATTGTATAATATTCACTGGTCTGGAGTTCCTAGGGTGCGCGATGTAACTCTAGACCAGTGAATGATGGTTATTCACCGCTATTATTCACTGGTGTGAAAAATGACTATCGTTTTGCTTGAGGATGTACATATGAATATTTTATACATTATTCAACAATCATATAATGAGAGCAATATATTTCATCACGACCTGTATTATACACTCCTGATCGAAATTTTGAAATGATTTTATTTTCACTGCATTATTAGGCATGGAAATTATAGTTCTTGTACCAAATTGCATCTGTTCATCATATGGAGTTTCGAAAATACTCAAGAAATTTCATCTTCAGGAGCCCCCTTTCGGGGGGTCATAGCTCCCTTAGGTGACATCTCTCGAATCATGTTCATTGAAAGTTTTCTTTCTATTTTTGGTCGTAAAAGCCGCTGGTGAAGTTTGGCAGGCTAATTTCGGAACACCTTGTATAAATGTATTTTTAATTTATTTAAAGATATGTCCCGGCGTGTTCGCCAAAACTTTGAATATAACATTCTTAATTATCATGAAATTACGCGCCAAAGAGTTAGTAATCACGCTTATGGCGTACTCTAGGAACTCTAGACTAGTGGAAAATGGTTATTCACCGCTATTTTTTACTAGTATGAAAATTGACAATTGACGTTTTGCTTGAGGAAGTACATGTACCTATTATGAATATTGTATACAAGAGTCGTGGATAATTGAGATCTAATCTTCCTATTCAAAATTTCCCTATTTTCCAGTTGATTCAGATTCAAAGAATAGAACAAATCTTTTATTGGAAGAGGATGAAGCCAAAATGCAAGTTTTCAACTTGATACATTCCATAGCAGCGATATCGAAATGTGAGTATATATTTGCTACAGTCGTTGATGATTCAATCAATTGGTAATGAAATATTCATTCAAATAAATTCCTTAGGTGTAATATATGGTGTTCCTTCGCCAAATTTTGAAATATATGTATTTCAAAATCCCTCTAAATGGATTCAAAATGCTATTTGTTACAAAAAGTCTATAGGTAATTCTCAAAAAATCGTAGGAATATTGTAGAAGTTGTGATAGCAGAAGTCTGAGAATTTTTGCATCATCACCTGGTTATGTCTACCTCTGAATTAATGTTCAAAATATAAGATGGCAACCAGCAAAACTTATGGGGTTAGGCCTGCCAATATGATTGCAAAATGCCAAATACCAAATGTCCGAAACCGCTTCGTTAGGTATTGACATACAGAGTGATTTGTGGATTCTGACAAAAAATTCAATCTGTCATATTAAATACATCAAATACATCAATAAATCAAATGTTGAGTTATTGTAAAAATAACTCACCTTGTATGCTAATTTTCAAAAATCTAAGGTCATATCAAAAATCTACGGAAAAATACTATTGGAACTTGTTGAGAAAGTGTCTGGCAAAATTCTAGTCATCTAGTCTAGTGTCTAGTCTTCATGAATGCACCCTGATATCTCAGTTATTAATGAATAGCATCAGTGGTAATTGTATGTTCGAACAATGAGGTATTCAGAAAGAGTGAACAGTTTCATTCACCATTGGCGTGCAATGTTGAGGGGATATTAGGGCTCATTTTAAATAACTGTTTTTATCAGACTCAGAATCAGCATCCCCAAAAACACCTCAATTCATATTTTCAAAATCGCAAGAAAAATTCCATATCCCGCTTTTCATGACTATACGTCCCAAAATTTCAAGAAAATCATATCGTTGATAACTGAGATTTAAGGGTGTTGTTCATGGAAAGCGGGATTTTGAAATATTTGGCATCTTGAAAATATGAATTGGAAAGTTATTTAAAATGAGTCCTAATAATAATATCCTTTTCCCAAATAAACGCCTTTTTGTACCTAGTACCTACCCCTCAACATCGCACGCCAATGGTGAATGAAACTGTTCATTCTGCTAAATACTTCCTTATTCAAACATGCAATCACAACAAAAATTTCAAGAGAATCGCACTATTAATAACTGAGATATCTGGGTGTATTCATGAAAAGCAGACACACTGTATACAATAGGTGCTCTCAAAGACGCCCATTGAGATTCCTCAATAACCACAATAAAAATCATTCTGATATTTTGAAACTTTTTCAGTCACCAACTAGGCTGAATTTTTGGCAGCATGAAAGCTCATACAGAGGGGTCAAAAAAAACAATTAATATATACTTCAAACTTCAACATACTGTACATAGATTAACGACTCCCCTTAATCTATGTACTGTATGTCAAAAATGAAGAAAGTTAGGACCGTTATAGGATGTTTACATGAATTTTATATCCTAAATACGACAAAAAGGATTTCCTGAATTTTTTCGCACTTATCCATTCGCACACTCTCATGGCAAGGAATGCAAAATTTCACATTTGTAATATTCATTGTTATATTTTTGTTTCAGTTCCAGTAATATTTTTAAACATCATAACAATCCTGCTGAAGCTCATACTGGGATCGTAGATTAGCAAGGAGTCTTGAAATTGTTTTTGTGTTAAAATGCACACTTTGTAAATTATGGATATAATAAAAATTACTGTGATCATCTCTAGCTTTCATTAATAATTGTAGAAATGAAGGAAATGAATACCAAACGTAATAAACGAAAATAAAACTTATATTAAGGAAAAACTACATGAAATTAAAAGGTAATTGATTTCAATTGAAACTGGGTAACATCACAGGAAGGTTATTACTAGATAACTTAACTTACAAAAAACAAATTTTAGAAAATGAGTGCTTTTCAATATTGATTGGTTCATGTTCAAGCCCCATCTCATTGAAATTGCCCCACATTAAAATTTGTTTTGACTTCAGGTGACTCAATTTTATTCCAGTAGACACCTTAACAAATATTTTTGTATCAACAAAATGGGCCTAAATTATTTGAAATAACAATTTTGGGTTACCAAAATCAACCTCAAGATCCCAAAGTATAAATTTCCAGGAGAATCACAAAAATAATGATAAATTCTTAAATTTTGGAATTCCGACCAAAAAATCATATCCCTGGACCTCAAAAATTCCGAAATACCAATTTTCAGGAGAATGGAAGGGGACAAGCCGAATTCTTTTTTTTTTTTTTCAACTTGACTATAATGGAAAGTAAGTGAATATCAAAGGACCATAGAGATCAACAACATATTTAGTGAAAGTGAAAAATGAAACAGTTCAAAAATACAATATTCAGTAAGTGGGTCAATTCCAATGAGATGGGGTTGTATCATAAATAAAAATTCACTCAATGTCATATTCATAAAAAAGACTGGCATATTTATTAATTCACATTGACCATCATAATTTGAATTTCTTCTATTTTAGTGAGTGCCTATACATAAAATGAATGTGGAATGCAGATTCAAGAATTAATAATTTCATATTTAAATAACAACAAAATGAGCTTCCTGTTCATTAAAAAAACATAAAACAAGTTGATCACATAATGAGAACAAAAACAATGATAGACAAGTCTATAAGTATAAAGGGTGGATTTGCTTGAGATTTACACGTTTCCTACAGGTTGGACAAGTCTTTGAAGTTTGTGCTACTTTTTTGATACAATCATGGCAGAATATGTGGCCACACATAGTGGAAGCTGCTACAACATCTCCACCTAACATCTCCAGACAAATTGGACAAGATGGTTTTGATTTTTCTGGTGATTTCTGAACAACCTTCTCTTTTTTCTCTTTTGGTTCTTCTAATTCACCTAGAAGTGCATTTACACTCCCTAATATTTCTTCTGTTTTGCTTTTGTATTCTGTCCAACTCTTATCTGGCTGATTAGTCACCTCTAGTCTTGCCTCTAGTGGAACATCATCACAGTCTAAAATCTTATCTACTATGTCCATCAGCTCATCATTATCATTGTTTATACTAATTATTTCAACAGGATTAGGCTGACTTTCAACAGTTTGTGGACAAGTAACACTATCTTTCACTGTGGGCTGTTCATCATCTGAATCTGACAACAGATAAAATTCTTTGGGTTCTTTTGGGGGTTGCTTATCAGGTATCTTTGCAAGACCTAAATCATCATCTTCATCATCAGACATCAAGTTTCCAGATTTAAAGAAGGTATTAACTCTATTTTCAATGTCTTTTTGGTGAATAGCCTTGACATCTTCTTCAATTACCTCAATATCTGACTCCCAATCTAAAGGGGTTGATCCACAACTACTATGGCCAACCTGAGAGCCAACCTGTGTAGAAGTCAGTGTTTGGCTTGCAATCCCTCTGCCTCTACTTCTAGCACCTCTACCTTGAGTTTTGGAACCTCTGCCTGAAGATGTGCCACCTCTTCCTCCCATACTGGATGTACCTCCATGAGCAGCAGTTGTGGATTTTTTGGGTTTTCTCGGTTTTCGTGTTTTTTGAGCATTTCGTGTCCGATGGAGATTGAGAAGTATCTCTAATAAATTGAAATCACCATCAGAAGCATCAGATAAGTCAGATGAATTTGATTCAGGGCCAATAGACACATTTCTACTTGTGAAAAATGCTGCAGAACGGCGAGGATTCCTCCTTCTACTCATTTTATAATGGGGTATATACTATATAGTGTATATATTTTAGGTTTTTTCTTTTTCTATTATTCTAATGAACTTTAACTTCTTTAACGGTCAAATACTTCATATGATTTTGTTTTATTATTTTGATATTTGTATTGGCAGTTTGGCATATGGCACTCATGGCAGTCTTGGCAGTCAGTAGGTGCGTTTTGTTGTGCCCAAACAGTGGTAATGCCAGGAGGGCCAATGGCCAATAGTTGACTGAAATCCCATCAAAAGTTAGCGTGGTAACATCCTTGTGGTAACTTTTGTGGGCAGCAGTGGGACCGTTTGAAACGTGACGGATATTCCCAAACAGCTGGTTGGTCAAACCCCAGACTTCATACTGAACGTATGTGCCCGGTCAAACCACACACTTGACACAACCTATATATAAATCCACCTTTGTTATGCCATTATCTGGTTCTTGGAATTGTACTCATTTTGTTGTGCATCCAAACAAGGATGGACATTCAAACCCATTTCCATTCCCATCCCTTCTAATGAGAAGGGTTGAAAATTGGAATGACAAATAAAAGTGACTTGTGATTATTATTGGGCCATGAGTATTGACCACGATGTAGGGGTATTGACAGTTTTAACAGAAAAAATTGTCAGCATTTATCGCATACAAGCTAATAATAATGAATAAAAATTGAAGAAAACCACAGAAAAACGGGAAATTTATCCATCTAAAAGACATTGATGTCTTCCAAAAATGCAATCATATTCTCAAACATTGGTTGAGAATCATGGATATTAAATTAATCAATTATCAATTTTTGATTCATGGGAGTGAAAGTAGAATGATGGTAATGATAAAATACGAGGACAAAAAATATAAATGAACAGATTTTGAGATTGAAAATATGAAATGTTTCCAAATGTTCGCATTGTCTGGCACCGATCATGCGCCGATACGTTTTCTTGAGTCCACTTCCGGAATAGCACAACAAAACGCACCTATTAACATAGTCAAGTCAACTATCAACTATAGGGCCAGCATGCCAATTTTCAGAAGATTTGATCCGTTATCTTATTCACAATTTTAGATAATCTTTTCTACCTAATTTACACAGTAGCTGTAGCTGGAAGTAGTTGTATTTTAGGACACATGTCTCTGTGAAGAAAAAGTTTAATTTTGATCCCAATTATTATCGCTAATATAAAGATTTCAACTTTCAGAAAACCTTTTTACTTTATTCGTCTCGAATCTGACCATTACAATCATATATTTTTGACTCAATCACTTTTTCTGTCAAAATCCCCTAATACTATGTGTACAGAATTAACTAAAATATAAATTAGCCGTGACATTCTCCCCGCGGTGAAGGAAGTTATTTTTCTTCACTACTTATTTCTAAACGACATAATTTCTTGACTGGCCTCCGGAAAGTAGAGGTACTAGTTTTCACTTCGGCAACTCTTATTCTTCCATCGGGCCCTGGAAATACTTTTTCTATCTTTCCCATTGTCCAAGCATTTCTTCGTATGTTGTCATCTGCTATTAATACAATATCTCCAACTTTGATCTCTTGGTTATCATCTGTCCACTTAGATCGTTTATTTAGCCGTGGTAAATACTCTTTGACCCATCGACGCCAAAATATATCTGTTAACATCTGGGATTTCTTCCACTGTTTACGCAATGATGAGTTTGATTCGCTGATACATACTGGTCCGTTCTGATTCCCGTATCCAATCAAGAAATGATTGGGAGTCAACGCCTCAGGATCAGCAGCATCAACAGAAACATAGGTTAGTGGACGTGAATTTACTATGTTTTCCGCCTCTGCTAATAGTGTCAGAAGAGTTTCATCTCTGAGAGATTGGTTATATAAAGCAACTCCAATGGTCTTCTTAACAGAACCAATCAGCCGCTCCCAGACGCCGGCCATGTGTGGCGCTGCAGGTGGTAAAAAATGAAAGTCAATACCTTCTGAAGCCATTGTATCATGCAAAGCAGACGTATTCATTTCCGCTAGACATTTTCTCAACTCTTCAGCGGCTCCACGGAGATTTGTTCCATTATCGCTGAAGATCTTTGAGGGCTTTCCTCGTCGAGCTATCATCCTCCTGATGGCCATGATAGTGGAATCGGTGGTTAAAGTATGCGCAACCTCTAGATGAATAGCCCGAACTGCCATGCAAGTGAACAGAACACCCCATCTCTTCTCTTGACGACGGCCAACGCAAACTTGCAGGGGTCCAAAATAATCCATACCCACATTCACGAAGGCTCGAACATCTGGAGTCAACCGTACTTCTGGTAGTTGTCCCATTTTTGGCACCACAGGTTTCGCTTTCGATTTTCTGCATATAAGACAACTGGAGAATGTTGACTTCACTGCAGCTCTCCCATCGATGATCCAAAATCGTTGTCTCACGTCATTCAGAATTGTTTCTATACCTTGGTGTCGGAATTTCTCATGATAGTATTGCAACATGAGCTTCGTGTATGGATGCTTTGGACTTAGAATATATGGTTTCTTTGTTCGGTATTCCATATGAGTAGCCAAATTCAGTCTACCATCTACAATTAACAACCCATCTTCATCAAGCGCGGGACACAATTGTTTAAGACGACTTCTCCGGTCTAAAGCTGTATCTTTTTTCAGGGTACAGATATCATCCCAGAAGCTTTGCTGTTGAGATTTTCCTATCCAATATTTTTCGGCTGCATTCATTTCTTGCACTGTCAGATCTTTTGGGATGTGAATATCTTCTCTTCTTACTTTCCTTAATAACTTGTTTATGTATCTTTTTACCCAAGAAGTAGTTCGGATCAAGCGAATCCATTTGGAAAATCTTTCAATCTTGAATATATCCTCTTCTTTTTCAGTAGATACTGCTACAAATTCTGCTTTCATCTCTGAAGAATACTCTGGACACTTTGTACATGTAATCTCATTTTCTGAAGGCCAATATTCTTCAGAATTTCTCAGAAATTGTGGACCATGAAACCAGTTTTGCAATATAGTTTCGATTGAATCATTTAATTTAATTCTAGTGGCATAATCTGCAACATTTTCATTCGTGGGTACCCACCGCCATTCTTCAACCGATGTCGATTCTTGAATTTCACCTATTCGATGTGCCACAAATTGTTTGAAATCTCTTCCATCGCTTCGTATCCACTGTATGACACATTTGGAGTCCGACCAGAAGTATTTTTGACAAATTTCTATCTCCAATTCATCACATATTGTGCGCGATAATCTACTGGCCATCACTGCAGCTTGAAGTTCAAGCCTGGGAATCGATAAAGGTTTCAGTGGGGCTACCCTAGTCTTTGCTGATATCATAGCTACATCGATGAAACCTTCCCCGACAATGCGAAGATAGGTTACACTGGAGAACGCTTTTTCACTGCTATCACAGAATGTATGTAATTCGAGTCTTTTTGCGGTAGGAATATTAGTGGAATAACATCTCGGAATTTTAACTTTTTCAATTTCCTTAAGATCATCAAGCCATTTCAACCACCTTTCTTCGATACTTCCGGGAACATGGTCATCCCAGCTTATACCTAACCGCCATACATCTTGCATGAGTATTTTCGCCCTAACTGTGAAGCAAGCTAGCAGGCCTAGAGGGTCATAAACCGACATAATATTTTTCAATATTTGTCTTTTTGTGAAACTCTTAGACGAGTCAGCAGCTTTCAAGACATTAGCATTTATTTTGAATAAAAGTTCATCCGTGGTTGACTGCCACCATATCCCAAGAACTCTTTCAGGTGAACAAGCATCGTTTTCGAATGTTTTCATCATCAACATGTCTTCAGACAGAGTGTTTCTCACCAAATTCGAATTTTATATCCAATTGACAACCTCGAAGCCTCCAAGCTTATGAACATTAAAAACATCCTGTATCATTTGAAGTGCTTCTTCCTCTGTATCCAAAGAATCCAAATAATCATCCACATAAAATTTCTCAGTTATGGCTTTCAAAACTTTTTCTGAAGGAGCTTCTTGTTTGGCGTTCAAATTCTTGATGAATTGTGCGCAAACCGGTGAACATGCTGCACCAAACGTCATCACCTGCATCTCAAAAACTTCTGGTGGTATTTCGAAGTTCAATCCTCTCCACAGAAAACGCTGAGCACATCGATCGACTTCACGGATTTTTACCTGGTGAAACATCTCGCGTATGTCACCACATATGCCATATCTTCGCTGCCTGAACTTCCATAAAACCGAAGTGAGGGACTGAAGTAAATCTGGCCCGGACATTAGGTTATCATTCAAGCTCTCCCCGTTAGATTTCGCTGAAGCATCGAAAACCAATCGGATTTTTCCAGGCTTGTTTTCATTCACAGTGGCAAAATGAGGTAAATACCAGGTTCTTGATGTTTCAATATTCGCTTCATCAGATGGAACTTTCTTCGCGTATCCTTTTTCTAGGTAGCTATCAATCTTCTTACAATACTCCAAGGCGAACTTGTCATTTTTCCGGAACTTTTTCTCTAAACAACTCAGTCTTTGTAGAGCGACGGTCTTACTCTCTGGAAGTGTAACATTTTCGGATTTCCAAAGAAGACCTATTTCAAATCGATCACCTACTTTTCTAGCCGTTTCATTCATAAGTTCCATAGCTCGTGCATTTTCTTTACCCAAAACATTTGAAACCATGGCTACACCAAATGCTTCCGTCGAAAAGGAATTCCTCATCAATTCTTCCAGACGAACTTCATTATCACAAATATGGAAGATCTGTGCATGCATGCTACCTGAACCAGGACTAAGACCATGCAATGACCAACCTAGTTTGCATTTGGTAGCAACAGGTAAGTTATCTGGACCATTTCGAAACTGTCTGGGTAATATCAAATTAATATTGTCTTGACCAATCAATATCATTGGTCTTTCATTGGCAAAACTCTCAATTGGAAGGTCGTTCAAGTACTCATAAGCTATCCAATCGTCCATATTTACAGTTTGTTCTGGGAGAGAAAGCCCCTTCACGGTCCTGACATTTTCCAAAGAATATCTTCTGGAATTTTCTCTCACTCCAGATATCTTGAAATTCAATCTTTCAGATTTGTCCATGTTTGAGGTTATACCATTAGTCCACTGGATACAAAGTGGCTCGTTCTCTCCACGCAATCCTATTTCCCTAACAATACTTTCCTCAACTAATGTGACAGTTGATGCTTCATCGCATAACGCTAAGACATTCAGTACACCATTTGGCCCAAATATGGAAACCGGAATCATTCTAAGCAGAATTTTCGCATTTGCGTGTCTAATTGAACATACTGTCTCGTTCTGGCTATTGTTGCTACATGTTGATGGGTTCGATTGTTGACTATCAGCCGAGGAAATATTCGTTTTGTGCAACAAAGGGTGATGGAAATACTTGCATCCATCTTTTCCACATTCCTGTCGCTTCTTACATCTGAATTTCTGATGACCTTTCTGTAGACATGAAAAACACAATTTTTTATCGGTAATTGTTTTCCACCTACTATCAACGTCATCATCGTTCATTTTTGGACAGGAACCTTCTACATGTTTATTTTCACAATAGAAGCAGATTTGTTTTCTTGATATTTCTTTTGTTGCCAATACCCTCTCATTTTTTTGTTGCCAAGCCGAACTTCTCGAATTATATTTATTTTCAGTAATGTTAGGGATTTTCGGAGAACTAATGTAACAAGCAGCATTCGCAATTTCTGCCAGCCAAATAGAAAAATCTTCTAAAGTCGCTTTGCCTTCTTTTTTCACCAGAAGCTCGCCCCATTTCAGCTTGATTATCTCGGGTAATTTTCCAACCAGGTCTTTCAGCAGCTGAGGGTTGTTGAGATGATCCAAAGACACTAAAGCTTTCATGGTAGATATGAGATTTCTCACCTCATGTGATAAATGAATCAGCTTCTCAGCATTGGTATCTCTAAAATATGGAATAGCTTTGATTCGTGAGATCATTACCTCAATGACTTGTTCCGTTCTCCCAAAGCGCATTTTCAGGGTGTCCATGATCAAATCTACGTTATTAGAGGTGAGCAGCATGCCGGCTACCGAAGTCTTCGCATCCCCCCTCAAACATTTTTGTAGTTTGATTAGTATTTCATCATTACTATATTGACACATTTTCACTATTTGCTGATATCTTTGAAGGAACAAAGGCCAATTCTCTGGATTTCCATCAAAAACTGGAAAATCCTTGTCCACTACATTCCTTGCTAACAACGTGTCGTTTCTAGCTGGAGAAACCGATTTCAAGACACTGGAAAGAGTTTCACACAGCAGTTGAATGTCTGTCGGAGCTGTATAATCCTTATTTTTCTTTGGATTGTCTGGTTCATGAATGCTTTCTTCTTTTCTAGGATCATCTACTTCAATGTTGTTTACCCATTGAGCAACAGAGGTTACAGAATGAACGTAATTCCGTTGGTCTTCTTTACTACAGCATTCACTATCTTCAATGTCCACTGCTTCCATCTCAGCTTCTTTCAGTTGATGCTCCATTTCAAGAATTTTCATCTTATTTTCAATTTCCCTCCGTTGCTTTTCTAATTCTTGTCTTTCCCTTTCTGTCTGAATTGCAAGGCGTTTTTTAGATAAACAAAGAGATGCTTGTGATCTAGATCTAGATTTGCATGAAGCACTTTTCATAGAACGTTGTTCAGAACGCCCCGTATCATCATGACTTTTTCTGATAGACATGTCACTATTATTGACGTTTTTCGAAATACCTGGTGAATTCAAACTCTGAGTTTCATTCTGTAGAGTCTGAGGAACACTACTCTGAGGAGCACCATTGAGTTCTGTCATGGATGAAGGATGTATATCATGTCCTTCTCCAAACCCTCTGGGCCACAGAAAGTCGCAGGACAATTTTCTGTTCACACCTGCATTACTCCTAACACACCTTTTCTCCTTCCTGGAATCTTGTCCGTCCATAGCTGTTTCAAGTTTTTCTCGAAGGACCACAATATTATTGCTAATATAAAGATTTCAACTTTCAGAAAACCTTTTTACTTTATTCGTCTCGAATCTGACCATTACAATCATATATTTTTGACTCAATCACTTTTTCTGTCAAAATCCCCTAATACTATGTGTACAGAATTAACTAAAATATAAATTAGCCGTGACACCAATGATATGAGATTACACCCAGTGATCAATTATCAGGTAAAAGGCAACACTGTAACTGGATACTGGGATCTTAGATCATACAATAATTTCCCCGAAATCCATGTTTTACTGTTTTATGCTCAGTTTTAAGTTCTGTGGTCTGTGGTTCTATGCCAAAATATGAAAATAATCAGCTGATCAGCTGATCTAAAAAATTCTGAAAATCTCAAACTTCATTGATTTTAAATTGTAAAGCAAATTTTGAAATTATTATAAAAAAGTTAAAAAAGTTGAAACGAGAAATCGAATTTTCAGAAATTCACTACCTAATGTCCAATCCAGTTACTACATTGCCCTATAGTAAGAAAAATGACAAAGCTCAAGATGAGGTAAAATTTTATTCAAAAAAAGGTGCTTATGTACCTAGCTTACAATAGAAATAGTGCTCACACTTTTTTTCGTGTTTTACAGAAACTTCTGGAACCCTTCAGTTATATACTACAAGTGCCTGGCAAGAACATAAGGTCCAAATTAGCTAGAGCATTCAATCATTGGCTTCAAATCCCTGAGGAAAAGCTTATTCATATTATGGATGTTATACAAATTTTACATAATTCTAGTCTACTGTATGTATAGTAGAATTCGAGATTCATACTTATTTATGCTAGTTTTAAAAGTTCAATTTTCTGTTGATCACATCAATAACTTGTTTTTTTACAATACTTCCAATCTAACTGTGATCATAATGATATTCTAAATCTTATTTCTTTCAGGATAGATGATATTCAAGATAATTCTATTTTAAGAAGAGGGATTCCTGTTGCACACTCAATATATGGAGTAGCTAGTACAATAAATACTGCAAACTACACTTCTTTCATTGCCTTAGAACGAATCATGGATTTACAACACCCTGAAGTAATCTGTCGTTCAAAACTAAAGTGTTATTATTACATTTCCACCTTGGTTTCAGGCAATATCCATAGCATTGGAACAAATGCTTGAATTGTATAGAGGCCAAGGAATGGAGATTTATTGGAGAGACAATTTTTCCTGTCCAACAGAAGAAGAATATAAGCAGATGGTTATTAGAAGTAAGTGGAATTACTACATATCTCTTGTCTCATTATAATCCAATAAAAAACATTGGAGACCAAGAATTATTGATACTGCTGCTTTCTCTTTCAATTATTAGAGATTTCACATAAATAAGTGTCAATAAAATTGAATACATCAACCTGATCCATGATAATATTATAAAGCTTTGCCTCTATAAAAAAATATTCATTTATAATTATGGTGTTTGAATAAACAAAAAGAGAAATACAAATCCTATTGTTCTAGAAACAGGGGGTCTTTTTATGTTGGCCATAAGATTAATGCAGCTGTTTAGTGAGAATGATAAAGGTGATTATAGAAGGATAACAGGGATCCTAGGGCTAATTTTTCAAATTCGTGATGACTATATGAATTTAGTATCTGAAGATGTAAGTTTTCTCATTTTCAATACAATATTCAATTTCAATGCTGATATCAAATTTATTTCAGTATATGGAGCACAAGAGCTACTGTGAGGACCTGACAGAGGGAAAATTCAGCTTTCCAATTATTCATGCAATCATCAGTAAACCTCAAGAAAACCAAATTATTCGTATCCTTGAGAAATATAAAAATTATCTCTTGAACAAGTATTCATCCATAAGATTATCTTATCCCAGATCTTATCTAACTGAACAAAATTTTCAAATTCCTTCAGTCTATTCCAAGATTTCATATTTATTTATATAAAATAAAAATTTCAACTAATTTTTACAGGAGAAATAGCATCATGAGTTGTATTTCCATGATTATTTCATAATTGAATCAGAAAAAAGATGATAATACAGAAATTGGTGCCTTCAAAATCAAATACTAATTATAATTCACCTTATAAATGTCAAAAATACACTGAAAAATTAGGTTGGATGATCACACTTCTGTGTTGGTATAGTCTGGTATTTTTAGTTAACAAAAAATATTGCTGTAATACAGAAGACTATTTCACTCATCTCAAAATGCTCACATAATCTAACCAATCACAAGCCAAAGACAACTTTTATTAACAGGGTTAATACCATCATTGCTCCCAATACTATCTATGGTAAATCTGTCAGAAATCAAGGAGATGTACTTCAAAGCAATATGATAAAGTTTGAGATTTCAGACAGAATTTTTAACAGTATTGTTACTATCGAGGCACACCATTCCAATTGATTCTCAAATGGCATCATTAGAAATCAAGATTTCAACGAACAAAAAGCCCATCGACTTTTTTGAAAAATCAGACATTTTGACGCGAGAATTTTCGATTGAAAATTAGGATTCTTTTTTGATATCAAGTCAAAATGAGGTTAAAAAATGAATTTTTAAAATAAAAAAAAGTAAGTGTGTTTGGGACACGAAGAGGTAGGTTATATACGAAGGCGCTGAAGGGCCACTTATATATATTTTTTTTGAAATCCAACTTTGAAGTCGGACCTCCGATTTCAATCTCGGGAACCCGACTTTAATCTCGGGCTCCCGACTTTAAACTCGGGATCCCGACTTTAATCTCGGGATCCCGACTTTAATCTCGGGATCCCGACTTTAATCCGACTTTATTCACGGGATACCGACTTTTAAGTCGGGGCTCTCACCTGTACAGGATGTCTCTTTATATTTTGTTCCCTACCTACATCTTCAACTATAGGAAGTGGAGGAAACTTCAAATATAAAAGTTGTAGGGTTTCATCTGTACAATCTTTGTGCACAAACAAATGCGAATCGCGAATTGAAAAAAGAGAGTATGATGGAACCTTCATTACATTCAATGTACAGGGTATCCCAATTTGGGCACTTTTGCGGGGTATCTCCCTTATCAGTTAAGATAGAGCATTGCGGTTTTCGCGACAGTGTGCTACTTTTTTATGAAATTAATAATGGCGCAAGCAGAATTGTGATAGCTCTTCCGGTTGTCGAGATACAGGGTGGAATTGAAAAATATCACTTTTCAGGCACCCTCCGTGTCTCAGTTATCTTTGAACTTATCGAAGAAGTTAAAACTTGTTTTTATAGAGTTTTTCTCGTAGAATCCAGTGGCGTAGTTATTTTTTTGCTAGCACCTTTTGTTTTTTAGTTATGGAGCAAACATATGTTTTTTTAAATGGAACACCCTGTATATTATTTCATATATACATTGAGCATGAAGTGGGCTTTCCAAAAATATATAATTGTATACAATTATTTTCCATTTTAAAAAACATATGTTTGCTCCATAACTACAAAACAAAAGGTGCTAGCAAAAAAATAACTACGCCACTGGATTCTACGAGAAAAACTATATAAGAACAAGTTTTAACTTCTTCAATAAGTTCAAAGATAACTGAGACACGGGGGTGCCTGAAAAGTGATATTTTTCAATTCCACCCTGTATCTCGACTAACGGAAGAGCTATCACAATTCTGCTTGCGCCATTATTAATTTCATGAAAAAAGTAGCACACTGTTGCGAAAACCGCAATGCTCTATCTTTACTGATAAGGGAGATACCCCGCAAAAGTACCCAAATTGGGATACCCTGTACAATAATCGACCAATTATCCGAACGTTACGATCATTACCGTACGTACAGCGGATGATTGTTTATATTTTACTCAATAGTTAAGAATCTCATTGTTGAATAAATACAAACACATTGAGGGAATCGGAGTTGATCAGTCATATAGAATTTTTTTGTTAGGTATAATGTCTATATGCCTTTTGACATAACATGGGTACTCAGTTTCGGACTTTTTCTATAATCTTCTTCAATAAATAGCCAAATTTCAAAGCCTTATAAAAACGTTGAGAATCAAGTTTTTGATGCGCAGTTTCCATCATGAATTAACAAATTCTATATGTTATATTGATATTTTGTCAATATCTCGGTCAATATTAAGAAAATTTGAAATAACCAGAAGTAATGACGTATTTTGCCAACCGGTCATTTTCTCGGAATTTTCGAAAGGATCGCCCTGTATTTTATGTCATTCTTGAATAAAGCTAAGAGAGACGAATTCATTGATACATGATTACATGGGTCTGAGAACACCCGTTTTGGACTTATCCATGAAGTTCTTCAATAAGTAATCAAATTTCTAAACCCTCTAAAACCGCTGTGGAATAAGTAAAAAGTGAAAAAAAATCAATAGAGTTATAAATAAGTATAATGATTTTGGATCAGGATCAACATGTGAACCATGACAGACATTGACTGCGCAGTTACCTAACCTTTCAGGTTAGGTAACAGACCTAGTGTCTTCGACTTTAATGTCGGGATCCCAAGAATAAAGTCAGGGGTTCGACTTTAATGTCAGGATTCCGAAATTGAAGTCGGGGGTCCGACTTTGAAGTCGGGATCCCGAGAATAAAGTCGGGATTCGAGAAAAAAGTATAGTTGGCCTTTCAGCCCCTTCCTAGTTTTCAACAAATTTCATGATTTTTTTTTTGTGAAATAAAAAACCAAAAACTTGGTTATCTAAATTTTTCACGTAAATTTTGAGTGTATGTGAAAGTGTTGGGACAAATGTTATTATTAATTAATCTTTTTATTACCTACAACTTTGCTGCTCAACATTTTTCATAGAACTCGTAGTTTTGATGGTAATCAAGATAATCCGTTTTTTACCCTTGAATGCTCGCCCGTAATTTATTTTTCCTAGGAGCGTGCGCAAAATAGTACTTTTTCGCACTCATTTGCGTGCGCAAAGTAATACTTCTCCGCATGCACTCAGTGCGGATATGAGTGTTATCCGCACGGCGTGCGGATGAGTAAAACTACCCAAAAATCTCACTGGTATGGAGCATTTATATTCATTTTAGTTCCTGTAGACTATTGTATGCACTATAAGAAGTCGTTATCCCTTTTACTTTTCAACCGTTCTTCCCTATATTTGTATTCCACCTCAATATCAGGAAGAAACGATTTCATTTTCTATCATTATATTTTATTGATATGTGATTGTTTGTTGTTTAGCTATTTCTATCAAGTTTTACTAAAAATTATTCAATAAATTGTAATTTGAGTTGATATTTTTTCATTTTGGTTGTTATCTGGTATGAAGCTCGTAGGGAAAATGTGATTTCCTATTATGATATTTCGTTGTTATATGTGATTGTTGTATAGTTACATTTTTCAATGAGTTATAATTTTTTAATTTTCCATTTAATCTGATATGGAGCTCGTAGGAAAAAAGTTGTTCCTAACACGTGCGCAAAGTGTCTTTTCCGCACGCAAAAACTTATTCGAACTCAGCTCCGCGTCGTTCGCCTAACTGTATTTGCGTGCGGAAAAGTAAAACTTTGCGCACTTGTTAGGAAAATAACTATTTCCTTTCATCTTCGTTATATTCTCTTCCTTCTCCAATGGGTTTCATGCTACTTCACACTTCTTACCATTTTCAGTATTGGTCTAATCCTCTTTTATGATAATTCATTTAGACATTTCCCATTTTCCCCCTGAATCTTTGGATCAATTTTTTGTCATCGATGATTTTTTTCATTCAATTATAATTTCAATATCTAGTTGTTCATCTGCATTGCTCATTATTATCCATTGAATAAATCCAGGTGGTATAATTTCAGTTTTCTTCAACTTCCAAAAAATTAGGAGGTTTTTAACTTCAAAATGCGTTATTCTCGGAAGTTACTTTTTGTGACATTCCCTTTTTTCTTCTGTGGTGTTCAATTGCATTTGAAAATATCTCGTGTGTGCCTTAATCTCTTCTATAGATATTCTGAAGCAGAGAACCAAAGAAATCGAGGTGAAAAAGTATTGTGTATCACTTCTAGAGAAGTATGGCAGTTTCGAGTATACCAGGGAAACCCTTAAGCAATTGGTGAGTGATGCCAAAGAAGAAATAGAAAAATTGGGAGGTAATCCGTTTATGGAAGAGTTTCTCATCTCTCTTTCCAAAATGTGATTTATTAATAATTATATTGATTGTCAAAGTATTAGTCCTGTGAAATGTTGATATTTTTATTTATTTTTATATGACACATTTTTTTGGTTTTAAGTTGATATGTTGATGAAAACTGTTATTACTATCCTCATATTCTCGGAATAATAAAATGCAATACATTTCTCATTCCTCGTATATTTTTGATTTAATAACACCAATATAGAAAATTTTTAGATAACCTACTACTATTTCATTTAACAGGATTTCATTAATAGATGGCACTCAATCGCATTGTTGGAAACTTATGGTAAATATAGTAAGGAAGGAAGGAAGGAATGCTCGAGTCATGTCCACAAATTTGTGGAGATGACTTCCAGCATTCCTTTCTTTGAAAAATTTCAATCCACTTCAATCCACACTCATAAAGTTGGACGTACAATGTATATTCCAAAATTACCGTCCGTTGGACATACATTTTACGTCACCTCAAGGACTTTAACTCTCATGGACGTTTGACCAACATCCATTGTACGGAAAGACGGTGTACCGGGTGTACCACTAAGAAAGGACGCCGGATGTATCTCGGAAACTATTTGCCGCACAGGTTTCGTAAAAAAATATTTATGATAAAAGTGGCCAAGAAAAATCTCTGGAAATTATTTTCAAGTGTCCAGGACAGCCGCTAGACGGCATAATTGCATTGGTCAACTCAAAAAACGGGTTTTTATGAAAATTTGATATATCAAGACATATCAGAAACACTTTTTCCATGTTCTCGAGTTGATTTCCAATTATTTCGATAAAAAAAATTGCGCTAGCTCTTTAAATAAAAGAGGGAGGTAAGGATGAATAGTCCTCTGGAAAAACTCTTATTACTACAGTTTGGTGTAACGGAATTAAGCGATCTTGGTCTCATTATGAAGGGTTTTTTCAGATCTTCCCGATAAATCACGAATCAAGTCGATTTAAATCCCGTGGTGGCCGCTAGATGGCATCGTTTGAAAAATCAGCAGATTTGCCATTTTTTTTCGAGAATTTCAAATGGAACCAAATATTTTTCCTGCTATGATATGAAAGTAAAGAAAACGAGAAGAAAAATGGTGAAAACCGCGAGTTGATACCTCTTGATGAACCGGAGAAATACTCGGAATATTATTAAAATTTGAACTGTTGCATGTCAAATGCCTCCTCATTCGTTATCGGCATTTGGACAAATAAGCAATCCACAGTGAAAACTTCCAATGGAACCTCAATTATATTTTGACGTTCCTTTCATTCAAAGCCAACTTGCCTTTTCTCATTCCTGAGCCTATACTCACTACTTACATTTCAATTAGCTATGCCATTACTAAGAGTCTCCTTCACTATATTGTAAGATATAACAGCAGTTTGTGAAACCGAAATAAATGAATTATTGAAATCATAATTTCATAGATTTAGGATATTTCTGATGACGATTATTGAAGTTAGATTCCTGTGGTGAATATTTTCATAATATTATTTCGAGTATTTCACCGGTTCCTCAAGAGGTATCAATCCGCGGTTTTCACCATTTCTCTTCTCGTTTGCTCTACTTTCATATTAGAGTAGAATGAATACATGGTTCCTTTTGAAATTTTCGAAAAAAATGGAAAATTGTCTGATGTTTTGAATGATGCCATCTAGCGGCCAGCACAGGATTTAAATCGACTTGATTCGTGATTCATCTGGAAGAACCAAAAAAACCTTCATAATGAGACCAAGATCGTTGAATTCCGTTACACCAAACTGTAGTAATGAGAGTTTTTTCAAAGTACTGTTCATCCTTCCCTCCCTCTTTCATTTAAAGAGCTAGCGCAATTTTTTTATCGAAATGATTGGAAATCAACTCGAGAACATGGAAAAAGTGTTTGTGATATGTCTTGATATATCAAATTTTCATAAAAACCTGTTTATTAAACTGGACAATGCAATTACGCCCTCTAGGGGCTGTCCTGGAAACTTGAAAATAATTTTCAGAGATTTGTCTTGGCCACTTTCATTATTCATATTTTTTTTTCGAAACCTGTGCGGCAAATAGTTTCCGAGATACAGCCGGCGTCCTTTCTTAGTGGTACACCCGGTACATTGCATATGATACAAACTGAACTTCCATTGGATATTTATTCAACTCCCATTCTGAGTTCAAGTATCCATGGATGACGGAAATTTGACACTCTGTCACTAACGTAGCTCAGATTGCATCGCGGCACGTTTGGATATTCGCAAAGAGGACAGTATCCCTTCAATCGCAGATTCGTGATTAGGTTTTCTCAATTTAGAATTTCTTTCCACGCCCTGTATGATCAATATCAATTTGCTATACATCCAAAAACAAAAACCAAGTGACGTTATCTTTGTTATTTTCAATGGGATACCCTGTAATACAGTGTGTCCCACTTACCATGCTCACCATGGGTATCTTTTTAACGGTGAGAGATACGAGGTCGGTTAAATGACACCAAATGTGGAGTTTGTCATGGACAACTATAATGTGAAAAAAAATGTTGATAAAATCTATTCGTTTTTGTTTTATACTCAAAAAACAGATTTTGATCATTTTCATGTCTCCTCCGTAACTTCTTTATTTATGAAAATATTCAAATAGGAATTTCACATTCTTATGGCAGTTTTTCATAGTGATTTCGAAAAAAATATGAAATTTATACCAACTCATCTAGAATTCGAGATATCAGCCCCAACTTTAGTTTTTCAAATGTAGGTCATAGCTCACTATGACTTAGTTACAGATAACTTTTTTTTCTCTTCCAGATGATATGTCGCAGTAATAGTTTTGTGTTGATAACAACGGAGTTATCGTCATTTATACAAGAACAAAAAATTGTTTGGGAGCTGCCATCTTGAATTTATGAATTTTAACAAAAAACTCATGATCTCCGACCTCAAAAACCTCCACTTACCAATTTTGAATGGAATCGGACCAAATCTTGGCCGCCATCTTGGAGCAGCAATTTTTTCAAATTAAAAAAAAATCCATAATGTATTGTCACCGAAATTATGAACACCTGTCAAATTTCGGAGTTATGGAATTTTTGTTGAAATTGAAAAAAATGGCTGCTCCAAGATGGCGGACAAGATTTGGTCAGATTTCATTCAAAATTGGTAAGTGGGGGTTTTTGAGGTCGGAGATCATGATTTTTTTGTTAAAATTTATAAATTCAAGATGGCGGCTTCTAAATAATTTTTTGTTCTTGTATTAATGACGATAACTCCATTGTTATCAACACAAAACTATTACTGCGACATATCATCTGAAAGAGAAAAAAAAGTTATTTGTAACTAAGTTATAGTGAGCTATGACCTACATTTGTCAAACTAAAGTTGGTGCTGATATCCCAAATTCTAGAAGAGTTGGTATGAATTTCATATTATTTCCGAAATCACTTCGAAAAACTGCCATGAGAATGTGAAATTCCTATTTGAATATTTTCATTAATAAAGAAGTTACGGAGGAGACATGAAAATGATCAAAATCTGTTTTTTGCTTATAAAACAAAAATGAATAGATTTAATCAAAATGTTTTTTCACATCATAGTTGGCCCTGACGAACTCCACATTTGGTGTCATTTAACCGACCTTGTATCTCTCACCGTTAAGAAGATGCCCATGGTGAGCATGGTAAGTGGGACACACTGTATATAACAGTTGTGAAAAATGAACCGGGCCCTTATTGAGTTTTTCGAGTATTTCTAAAAAAAAACGACAATAAATATGCACAGCCTATATATTACATAGTTATTTTTTGTGAATTACAATTTTCAGTGATTACTTATGCATTCATTTAATCGTAAATATTGAAGGTTGAACGGATCACTCACCATATTAGCAACTACTGAATAACGCGGAAAACTGGATCGAAAAATGAATTTGAGACATTGAAAATCTCAATTTATTTTTCCAAGTTGAAACCCAAATTTCTTCGACTGATTCAATTCCAATACCAGATATTACCTCAAAAGGGTGTTTGCTGTCAAATCAAATTTTCGAAAGACAAACGACAAGTTTTGGGTATTGTTTTTATTATATAGTACAATTCGGAGCAGAAATAGACTAGTTAGGTGTATAAACCTAGTTTCTTATAGCCAACGAAGAATCTAAAAGTAGTCGCATATAGGCACAAATGGAAACCAATAAGATAACGGAGTCAATGACACCGCAAAATTCTTGTATACCTACTCCAAGCGAACCCTACCATGTAATCCACAAGAGCAACAAGTTACAAGGCTATTCTTCCTGCACAATGCACATCATTCCACCATTAGACCATCACGTTCAAGGTGTACTACGATTTCGGTGCTCTATTTCCATTCAACCTATTGTCCGAACAAACGAGCGACGTGCCCATCAAAGAGTGCGGAAATGCATCGATTGTTCCAATCCGGAATCGGTGCCACACCAGCCCACTCTGATTTTAAAGGTACCGCGGTTCGGCGGGTCCAATCTAGATACCTGCGCGTCCGGATGTATCCAGAGGTGCTTTTGTCCCGCGGGATAGACGCTTATCGGGTGGTTGAGGAAAATGACAGTGGTGACAGCTGTGACGGGTGTAATTTGAGGAGGTCGAATGCGTTGAGGAGGAGGCCGAGGCCGGTCGTGAGGAAATCTACTTTGAAGAGGGTGGAAAGTGCCAAGAGGAGTTTCGAGAAATGCGTGGAGAGGTGTGGAGTTACTGAAGATGAAGTGGAAAAAGGGAAGTTGAATAGGTGAGTTTTATTATTTGGTACCGATACCGGGTAATTCAAATTCAAGGGTCACCATTTATGATCTCGGAAACTAAAGGAGAGATGCGATCGAAGATGAATGAATCAAGGCAAAGTTGAGCATTTTAATGTGAATAAAAATGGTCCATGTACATCATCAGAACGTATCGACACAGACCGTCGATTAATAGGACATTATTCGGCTAGAATAGTAAAAAATCAGAATAGCAAATCATCAGAATCATATTCCAGCGACTGCAATATGTACAACCCGTAATTCG